TGTCTGGCGTCTATTGATTTAGCCGTAAATGACAAAACGGAAAAGCACGGAGACAAAGCGTCAAAGAGGAAACTCCGGAAAGTGCATTTAGCCAAATGAGCGGGGAAAATGCGACGCGGAAAATGAGGAGGAATAGTAGGGATAGTGTGCTGACATTTATGGCAACGACGCCTAATGGCTGGTGATGGGATATTGTGCATATGCATGGGATGGAGATGGAATTGGAATGCAATGGTGCCCATCGGTGGGGTGGATGATGACAATGCATCAACGGACAAAGGAGCCAAAAGGGAACGGGCCACAAAAGGAGCTAAACATTCCTATGGGGGTATTATGCAAAGGAGGGGGAAAATATATTGGGAGAGGCCCAACTCCACTCGAGTGGCCCAACTCCGTGTGTTACCATTGTTGTTGGCCCTCAATGGCTGAAAATGGATAGATAATAACTTGTGAAAATAACTTTTGCACTTGAACGAGATTTCAAATGTTGTTGTTGAATGGGGAGCACTCAACGGAGACAGAGACAGAGACAGCGACTGCATCCATTACACACATATATGTATGCACTGTCAAAATCATGGTCCATGGTCCATGGTCCACATTCGACACTGAAATTTCTGACAGATGCGAGTGCATCAAGTTCGGATGCTTTCGAGAGTGGTGGGGTTGGAGATGATGGAAGATGGAGCTGCTTGGAAGCGATACGGAGTGGGAGTGTGAACTGCATTCCCATTGAATGTTGTTGCCTGAAACGAAATCGTTTCGATTGTCGCTTCAAGTGTCATTGAACGTTTGGGTGGCATATAAGGAAAATATGGGGAAAGAGCTGTGGAGGAGAACTCTCTGGGGAGGGCACTGAAAAAAAGATGGAAACTCTTCGAAATAGATAGCTATAACTCGAAGGTATTCTGAAATATGTTAAGTATTGAGGGTTTCCAGGGAAAGTAACTTTATATAACACTTAATTAGCACTCCTACTTTACACCATATATTCCTAAGCCTTTTCTAGTGCTTTAATCAAGCCGACATTTTGAACACAAACAACCAAAACCATCAAGTATCTCTTGGATATGCAATAGATACTTGATATCTTGTTTCATTTACACTTGAAGTCCCCAAGTGTCTGGTATAACTTTCCTATTGGGTCCATTGTGTATCGATATGTGTGTACCACCCCCACCCAATTTTTCCGTAGTATTGTGAAACTCTATCGTATGACCCAACTACAAATACAAGCTCTATCTCTTTTGCGATGTTTGTAATTGTTAATTGAAAAAGTCAACACCAACAGGCAGCAGAAAAAAGTATCGAATTCGTTACTTTTATAACATATTTTCCATACTCACTGTTGTCATAGCCAGAGCTATGTGGTTGTTTTTGCTGTTATCAAACTTTTACTGTCATTCGGTAATTCACACTTTACCATTGTGAAAAGTGGGGAAAAGCTAAGAAAAAATACAAAAAGATGGAAAAGTGTGGTATTGATTAGTTCCCTTGTTGTTAGCAGTTAGTTTAAAGAACTGAAAAACAACAGCAAGATAGTGATATATGACCTAGAGTTTAATAACAATCAGTCTTATCATTACGAAATTACAAAAGTGCGACATTATTCCTATAATAGTCTATATGACTATAGCCCATTTTAAAGTAGCCACCATAAATTGAATACAAGGAAAATTATGCCATAACAATTAAATCAAGACAACCCGAAAGATAACAAGTTTATAGTATACCATATATCATTACAGTATAACTATACTTGTGGAAGTCCCATAGCGATAGAAGTTGTTTCATACGATAGACAAGGTAATATTGAAGACTTGCAGCAATATCTGATAATGAAAATAAGGTCTGGGAATGGGAACTTGGTAAGGGAAAAGTTTCACGCCTGACAGAACACAGATGCATTGTAAACAATACGGTGAACGACGTGAAATGCGGGGGAGTTTTAATGACAATTTCGAATGTGGAAATCAGCAATGGCCAAAATAAAAAACAAAAACGGCAGAGGCACACATTCAATTACCGGACCTGGCGATGGGGAGGAGATTGGATCGCATTGGATTGGAATGGGACAGGCCTTATATGCGAATCGATGCCGACGACGCATCCTATGCAAAATGTGTGTGTTGTTTATACATTTCGCTGTGTTTGGATGCCGATTTTTTAATTAAATTCACTTTCAAAAATACCGCTAATCATTCGAACAAAAGGCCAGCGAGCATTTGCATATTTGTTTGTCTCGAAAGCTTGCGACTTTTTGATTTTTTTTGCATCTTTTCAGTCATTCTCTGGCTTGGTGGGTCAGCAGCAGGGGGCGTGGCATGTGAATAGATTGATCGATCTAGGCAAAAAAGATAGATTTTCGCAAGTGCGAAAGTGAAATCCAAATCCGGGGGATGAGATGCGGATTTGCCCGAAAAGCCCAACCAACCCAAAATAAACCCCCCGGAGGTTTACTAACTCCGGCGGCTATGATTTCTTTAGCTTAACCCATCAATGGTCAGCAAATTAGCCAACACACATGGGTTTTTGTACTTGTCCGCATGCGAATGCGAATCCGAATCTCCCAATAGCGATCCGATTCCGAATCCGCCTGATCACTTTGAAAAAACAGAAAAAAAGACACGTAAGTGGCCAAATCGGTGCGCCTTAATTAAGACCAGCCTCATCGGGAATGAGGCGGTTACGTAAGCACTTAATACAGCTCCGGGACCAACGGATCCAATAGCCAGGCGAATTAAACACACAAAACATTTAAAATACACACGCTGAAAACCGAAAATCGAATATCGAAAAACCGAACAGTGGAATGCCAATGCGAATGGGATTCGATTTCTTTAAGCTTTGTTCCGACTCTCTCACCCATTGGTTTCTTTTATTATTACCGGTCGATCGGTCCTAAAAGATTGCGACCTGGCCTCATTATTATAAAGCAGGTGTGGCGAAGGTGTGAATATGGTTCTGAATTCGCAAAACAATATGTATTTCATTCTATGCGTATACCTTATAAAGAACGTTGAGCTCAGCGTTCTTACTTTGCTATTCTGATGTTTTCAGACTTTAAGAACTCTTGTTTTTATATTATGACATATACCAAGTAGTATATTTTTATGATTTTATAATCTTTTAAGCTTAATAATAAAATATAATATAATTAACTATTCCAAAAAGGTTTATTTCCCATTTTCCTTGGGAAACCTTAACATAGCTTTTATAGCCATCTTTATAGATTATATTTTATACACATATGAAAAATTCCCTTCGTCTTCCTTTGCCCTGAAGTCGCTTCAACAAAGGCTTAATCCCATCGGAGGATTAATGAGGGGCGGAGGCTTTAAAGACCAACCTGTTCTGATGGCCCAAGGTCAAATCCTGTTGCGGCATCCTTATGCAACGATAATTCGATAAACGCTTTTGATAAGCCATAAGTTTTATGACCGACCTTGGATGGTTGGTGCAGTAGTTGGTGGTCGATCTCCCCTTTTCGAGCGAAGTTCACAGTTCAATTGGACTCACCGCTAATTACTCACTATAAAAGCGACCTGTTAATGAGATGGGGGTAAAAATAAAATGAAGTATAAGGGGCACTTGGGTGTGAGATGCCATTAACCCGGCGCCCAATACCAACTTTGTTTTCCAGCTGCTGCTGCTGCTGCTTGTGCTGCTGGCTTGTCTGGGCCTTTTTCAAGTCACCGACTTTTATGTTTTATTTATTGATTTTATTTGTATAACTTTTGCAGCCAGCGGCGGCGGTTTGCCGTTGCCGCTGCGGTTTTCAGTACCATAATTATGTCAGCTGCAGTGGCACAATCATAAATTTACGCCGTTTTGGTGCAACAATTTTTACGATTTATTATCCACTTGCCGGCAATCTGATTGTATATCATCAATCAACGGGCTTTTCCGCTAAAAAAAAAAGTTGGGCAAATTCTTTTGTTTCTCAACGCTAAGATTTTGTTGCTAAAATTTTTAATTTATATACGTTTTTTCCCTCATTTCAGCTTAATATCGAACCGAACCGAAACGCTAATCCGAACCAGACGCAATGCACTGCAACCAAAACCATAACGAAAACACGACGACCAATCTTTGCTAAGGTCTGAAGAATAAAAAAAATAAATAAATAAAAAAAAAACAGAATATTGAAACCGAAAGCTAAGGCAAAGGAACTGTGATTTGAGTTCCAGAAAGATAAAGAATAAAATCCCGAAGCGATGGCCATGTTGGAGGCGAGGCCGTACAGGCCATTTAAGTCCAGCGAGGAGTACCTGGAGGCCATGAAGGAGGATCTGGCCGAATGGCTCAGCACACTCTATCCGGAACTGAGCATCAATGCCGAGAACTTCATGGATCGCTTGGACACAGGCGTGGCATTGTGCAAGGTAAGTCAAGTCCCCCTTAAATCGTGAAAGCAAATTCACACATATAAACCATCCATCCAACCACCCATCCACACATCTCGACACTCGCAAGTGCTAAGAGCTCGACAGATTTCCATTTCATCTTTTATGCCTCGGCTAAAGAGCTTCTTACCTGGCCAACGGCACTCCAGCAGGAAAAAGCCAGGAAAAATCCAGGTCACCGGGGGTTCATTGAGCCAGCTTAGTTGCTCAACCGAAAGCATTTTGTGAACAGTTCATAATTTAAATGAAGCCCAGAAAAAAGCCAGGGGGCATGGATAATGAGAGCGGAGGAACAAAAGGATTCCCTCGAATAAGTATAAAATCCGTAAATTAACCTAAAGACTTGGCCAATTGTAGCAATGCTTAAAAAGCTTATTATTTTATAACAATAATCTAAATTTTATAAAAAAGGTTGGGTAAATCCCGGTAAAATATATAATTTGTACCACAATATTTTTGCCATTTTAAATTTATAAGTAATCCACTTAAATGCATCTATCCAAAGTTTAGTTAAACGAGCTGAAAACATGTTCCAAACTCGGGATCAAGTGGGCTGTGGAGCCCCAATGTCAGTAGCTGTACGGAACCCCTATGTTTGCCAGTTAGTTCCAATAGGTTTAAACACCGAACAACATCTAAATTTGCTACGCGCGTTTACTGCCTTATATTATTTTCCAAACTTTTTTTCTCTTAATTTTTTCAACGCCCTTTGTAACGTCGCAACATTGGGGTTTAAAAAGTAATGTAACAAAGGTGCACATCATTGTCGGTTGGCTAAACGAAACATTTCGCAAAGTAATACCAAAGCAAGAGAGCGGTTTGGTTCAAGAATCAGAAACAACACGCAGAATGGTCAATTCAGACAGCGATTCGGATGAATTTCCGTTTCCAGAGTTCGAAACAAATGGCGAGTTCGTAGATCCAGAAAACAAACGCATCCGAAATACAAATGACGTGGGCGTACAGTTTCCAGAATTGATCAGTCCTCGTAATGAACAGCGGCTTCCTAAATCTGAGACAAATTCAGAGCCCGAACCCATCCAGCAAGTAAGCGAATTGAATGCAAGACGGTCAAACAATTTACGACGAGTTCAGACCGGGATGGTAAGAAAGATGAATATGGTGAAGATGTTGAGGTCGGTCAGGAGGTTTATTGGGGGAGCGAGATACCATTCAAGAGCAGATCGAAAAGGGCTAGGTAATTAAAAAAACGAACTGTCCGCTTCTTAGAACAGAACTTGGTCCTAACCCCTTTCTCAACCCGCAGTCAATATTCAAAATGTGACCCAACCTGAAAGTCTCTCAAGCGGGGATGAAAGCGATCCACTTATAGCCGACTCTATACCATCGCAGAATGAAACTGATATGCTGCCAGAGGATATAGAAATGGGGCAGGCATCTCTGGACGAATCCCGAGGTCCCGATTTTCCAGATTTCCCTACTGGAGCCGAAACTGAGTCTTCTGGGCCTGGTGTCCTGGATTCCGGAATTGAAAACTTGTCGAGGATGATAACAGCTCAATTTCTGGATGATTCGGATGTGGGATGGATGACACATAGGAACGAACAAGATGAAACAAGAGAGACTGCTGGTCAGGATTTCGTCACTATAGAAATAGAAAACGAGTTCATACTTTCCGAACCCCAAGAGTCGAACCCCACTTTCGAAGACGAAATAATCAGTCAACATGAGAATATTCCTTTGGAAGAGACCGTGGATGCAATACTCGAAAGACCAACAACTTTAGGATCTTTTGAAGAAGTGCCTTCTGAATATTCTGGGTCGACAAAAACTCTACCTCCGAATGATTTGGATTCGGGTTCAACATCTTCTGAAGACGTGTTATATGAATTGAATAATCAAGATTCCGGGATAGAATATGAATTGTTTGGGTCGATAAGAACTCTACCTCCGAATGATTTGGATTCGGGTTCAACATCTTCTGAAGACGTGTTATATGAATTGAATATTCAAGATTCCGGGATAGGACATGAATTGTTTGGGTCGATAAGAACTCTACCTCCGAATGATTTGGATTCGGGTTCAACATCTTCTGAAGCAGTGTCCTCTGAATTGGGTAATTACGATTCCGATAAGGATATGGATGATGACTCAGACTCATATTTAACACCTCCTGAAGGGTCCTTTGAATCGGATTGTTCCGAGACCTCAAAAAAAGCCAAAGGATCTGAAGGGGGCGCTGAAAAGGAATATGATGATTTGATTGGGGCGTTAGAAACTCTAACTCCGAATGACTGGAATGCGGAAGCACTGTCCTTCGAGTTGGGTAATCAGGATTCCGATAAGGATAAGGATGATGAATCTTTTATGGAGATCAGAGCTCCGCAGAACTCTCCAAATGACTCGGATGTGCCCTCTGAAGTGTCCTTTGATTCGTCTGTGGCGATAAGATCTCGACCTCCAAGTGACTTCGATTGGAGTTCATCGGATTGTTCCGAGACCCCAGAAAAAGCCAAAGGACCTGATGGGGGCACTACACAGGAACATGATGAATTGATTGGGGCGATAGGAACTCCATCTCCGAATAATTCGCATTTGGAAGCTGTGTCTTCTGAATTGGATAATCAGGAAAAGGATGATAAGTTGTTTGAGAAGCTACGAACTCTACAGAACTCTCCAAATGACTCGGAAGTGGATTTTCCTGAGACCGCTGTGCAGGATGATTCTATTGAAGACGACCCCGATACTATAATGGATATTATTGCCATGCTCGTTCTTGAAAGGCCGAGCCGAATGCACGTGAGAATTGGTGCCGGAACCTACGAGTGGCGTAAGAATAAACCTGATGACGAATCGAATGACATAGTAACATGGACCTATACGGGGACCTCTGGCAGAACAGAGTTCAGCATTTCATGGTATACAACCGAATCTAGCGTTGCCCTACTCAACGATAACGCCGATCGTGTTGTTTTACAACATATCAAGGAAGCTATAGGTGAGTCTGTCGGTCACAAATTGGTTACCAGGACCACGGCCGCAGAACGTCAGGCCACACGCTCTCTGCAGAAAAAACGCGAACATGAATCCATACAATCGATTATCTTGCGAATTGCCGAAAAATTAAGCGATGCTCAAGCCAAGGTCGATGAATTTCGCAAGGATATCGAAAGTTACGAAGAGAAGCTTAATCGCAAATATAGCGATTAAGCCAACAGTTGGTGGCATTATTTGTGATAAATTTTTTGGTTAACCATTGTTTGTTCGATTATATATAATACATGGCTAAGGTCTTTCCTTTGATCCGTAATTCTATTCGCTTGGCTTGGCTTTTGGTTTTCTGTTCTAACTTTTTTTTTTAGTTTTTCGGTTTGGCTTGGTTTGGTTTGGGTGGCACATGCCACATGCCATAACCACAGCCACAACTATAGCTATAGCTCTAGCATAGCCCCCTGCCTTTTGGCCCTCTTTTCTGTTTTGTTGGCGCTGAGTGGCGCCAGTAGCACCCGACATCGTCACGCTGGAGGCCAATAGCAAGACCTCAACCCGTAGACAATTTGTCTTTACTTGTGCTGTTGATGTTGCAGTTGCTGTTGCTGTTGCCCCGTTGCAGTTGTTTTTCTGCTTTGCGGATTCGTATCTGCCACGAGATCTCCTTGCCCCCTTTTGGGGGTCTCCTGCTGCGCCGATCTTTTCTCGTGTCTTCCGAGTGTGTGGTTTTTTTGTTTCTTTTTTCTCGAGGAACTTGGCCGAGAGTCCGTAACCAAAACTAAAGCCGGCCCCATAGAACATTGGAGTGTGCACACAAATAAAATATGATTAGTGTTGGACAATGTCGCTTGTCAGTCAGTTAGCCATCAGATTGCTATGAAATGTAGCGGAATCCTAAGTTTTATATTGTATTTTTTTTAAATGCATACTATTTTTAAATATTTTGAACATTTAAACAACATAATTACAATACTAAGGTATTTTATTATAAAGATTTTTATGGGAATTTGATGAATGTATCTGTAAATATTTATTTGCCACAGTATTCTGATTTCTTAAAAGTGGTTTTTTATTTTGTTTCCAACAAGAATCTCCTTTTATCGAAGCTGTCCACATATCAACAATTTTTGTGGGCTTGGTTAGGCTGGATAAGTGAGGACGGTAATGCTCTCTTCATACGGCTGGTGCCGATTATCCACTCCCCTAACCACTGTAGCCACACACAGCGATCCCGTCAGCCAGAGCCTCACCTGCGCACACACACCTCACCTCGGATCTGGGATCTTGGATCTTGGATCTCGGATATAGCCCCCGTTCCCCGGTTCCCCAATGGATCCCATGGACCCATAGACAACTCCACCCCGAGGCGAGTGCTCGATATGGTGATGGATATGCGTGCAGCATAATCATGAAGTTGCTTTGATCTTCTGTCTGCGCTGTCTCGAAATAAATGAAATGACTCAGACAGGGGGCATAAATTTTGCACTGGCCAAAGATCAGGGGGAATCGGGGAATTGGGGAACTGCCGGAAATGTCATAAGCATAAATATAATTTTTGATAATTGTGTGTGTCGCGAAGCGTTAATGGAACTTTAATTGAAACTCCGGGCAAGAGAAGGGGGGTCTCTGGGGCTGGGGTTTCAGTGTCTCGGGGTCTTAAACCAAAACAAATCTCTTTCAATGGCCATAGCCATTCTGAGGCGATGCAGTGCGATTTGATGTCTTCATCGTTCCAACAACGATCGTAATTACCACTTGATGGCCACTTTAAACGAAGGGTGGTCCAAAAACGGGGCGAGGGGCATACCCAGTACATACGTACTGGGGGCCAATTAGCCAAAGGAGATCGTTAGCTGTCTGACGATCATTAGCGAATTGCCTTAACGATCTGTACAGCCAATTGCTTGCCAATTTATCTAGTTAATTATACGGATTTTCTATAGTTAGAACTCCTCGTTTATGCATGCATTTTATATACTTTTTTATTTGTATATTTCTTAAAGTGCTGTTGATCCCCCTCAGCAATTCCCATTGAGCAACTTTGTTGCCGACTCTCTTCCGCTATTTTTTTGAAATTTTTTGGGCACTTTGTTTGGCTTTCGTCGTCGGCTAATTGAATTTGATAAAAAGCCAGCGTATGTTTTTAATTGACCACACATCCAGACACTCACACAGTCGCCAATTATACGGAGATAGATAACCCAACGGGGGCAGATAGTGCCCAGCTCTCTTTTGGGTCTTTCGATTGGGCAAGAGAGCTCTGCACTTCCGCCAGCGGAGTCCGAACTCGTATCCGTATCTCAGTCCGGAACTGGGACAGTCTCCACTCGGGAAACGAAACACATTGAAGTCCATAAAAGTCCCCTTGTGATATTATAAACGAATCAGATTAATACAGAACTGGGATTTTTTAAATAAAACCATACGGCAAGCCCTGGACAAAACATAACATTGCATATTTTGGTATATGATATTAATATATGGGTATTAAAATTACTAATATCTACCAACTTTTACAATGCTTCAGTATAGAACTTAAAGTTGCAGTAGAAAATAGTATTTTATGAGAGTAAGTTTCGGAAGGTATTTTTCCAAAACCAGATCACAAAAGTCCTCATGAACTATAAATGCATTAGATTACTAAGGACTGGGATTTTTAAATATAACCATAGTGCATGCCCTCGATAAAAAATTACATTAAGAACCATTGTGCATAGAAATGTTAAATATCTTTTACAAATAATTGTATACCAACCAGATATTTTAGAACACTTCAAAATAACAGTATAGAACTCGAAATCGCAGTAATAAATGGTATTTTATGAGAGTAAGTTTCTAAAGACTGTTTTTTCCAACACTAAGATGGGGTTGGCCAACACCAAAGTCTAGAGTTGTCTTGTCTCCTTTTTCGCTGACAGTTCGCTAACTAGCCAAGTGAAAATTTTCAATGTCTTGCCGAAAAGTAATTGTGAGAAAGAGCTCTACAAAAATGTGCGAGAAAGGTGAAAAACTGGCGATGAAGAAGATTAAAGACGATGTGTTAGTGGAGAAAGAGAACAAGGTCGTGAAAATCCAGCAAGAACTTAAACGTTCGCCAAAGAAATCTGGCGAAAAAGTTGCGCCGGGCAAGGATGAAAAGCAGAATACTCGGTTCCGTGGGCGTTCCAAGTCATCAAGTTCATCCAGCTCGGAATCCAGCTCTTCCAGCTCGGAATCAAGTTCGAAATCCTCCAGCTCTGAATCGCAGTCCGGTTCGGTGGCCAGTTCTTCATATTTAGAAAAGAAAAAGAAGAGTGACTCTCTGAGTCTTGAGCCGAGTCCCGAACTTATTTCAAATTCCTGGGAAAGCACCCCCCCTAAAAATCACGGCAAAAGTCGTTCTCCGAGCCGCAGGAAAAGTTCCCCAAGCCACAAGAGCAGCAGCCGTCCACGGATTATCAATCCCTTTGGAAATCCCCGTATAACTCGTTCTCCGTCCAGACGCCGCAGTCCCCAGCGTGTTTTCAATTCTTGGAGAAGCAGGGCTCCCGCCAAAGGTCGCCAGAAGAGTCGTTCTCCGCTGAGGAGCCGCAGTCCCCAGCGCATTGTCAGGCGTTGGAGGAGCAGGACTCCCGCCGAAAATCGCCAGAAGAGTCGTTCTCCGTTGGGGAACCGCAGTCCCCAACGATTTTATAAGCGTTGGAGGAGCAGGACTCCGCCCGGTAATTTCCAGAAGAGTCGTTCTCCGCTGAGAAGCCGCAGCCCCCAACGCGTTTTCGATTCTTGCAGGAGCAAGATGCCCACCGAAAATCGCGAGAAGAGTCGTTCTCCGCTGAAGAGCCTTGTTTGCAATCCCTGGAAACGGATCCTGTGCCCGGCAGATCGCGAGCACAATGAATCGGAGCTGTACCGGCAACGCCACAAGATCTCCCTGGCCAGCTGCGATCCGCGACGCGCTCCCAAACCCGTGCAGAATTTCCACCGCAGCGGATTCGATGAGAACATAATCCGGCGTCTGGAGCTCCGTGGCTTCGAGTCGCCCACACCCATCCAGGCCCAAAGCTGGCCAGTGGCCCAGTCGGGCAGCAACCTGGTGATGGTCTCCGGCACCGGAACGGGCAAGACACTGGGCTACCTGCTGCCGGGCATCATGAAAGTCCAGAAGATGCATCTATCGCAACGCCGCAACGATGGTCCGATTGTCCTGGTTCTGGTGGACTGTCGGGAGGCAGCGATTTTGGTCCACAAGGAGGCACAGTCCTTCACGAATCAGCACGAGCTGCGGAGCCAGTGCATCTCGGGCAGCGTCTGGTGGAACGCCTCCACCAACTGTGAGCTGTTGGTGCTTACGGCCGGTCGCCTGCTGGAAATAATGTCCGGAGATGGCCAGGAGATGGCCCTGGGTCGTTGCTCCTATGTGGTTCTCGACGACATAGACCGCATGATTGACGTCGGCTTGGAGGGCCAGCTGTGCCGCCTGCTCTGCCTGATGCGTCCCCAGGCCCAGTTCGTCATCTCTTCATCATCGTGGCCGCGCAATCTCCAGCGGATGGCCCGCAAGTACATGGGCAACTACACCCTGATCCGCGTGGGTGATCCCGACGATTCCAGCCAGGGACTACTGAGCCTCCGCCAGCGGGTGGTGGTGCTCAATTCGAGCCGCAAGACGCATCAGCTCAAGGAGGAGCTAACGGCCATCTATGATCTGAGCGACACGCCCGGCAAGGTGGTGGTCTATGCCGAGCGCCAGCGGTGCGTCGACGAGCTGGTGGCCTTCATCCAGGTCTTTGTGCCCTGCGCCGGCCTCCATGGCGGACGTACTGTCGCCGAACGGGATGCCATCATCCGTGCCTTTCGCAACGGCCACTACAACATCATTGTGGTCACCGACATGACCCAGCGGGGACTGGACGTGCCGGGCATCAAGTATGTGATCAACTACGACTTGCCCAACTCCGTCGAGGGCTATGTCCAGCGCCTGACCAGAACGGGCTGCCTCTCGGTATCGCAGGGCTGCGAGGTCATCAGCTTCTTCACCAGAACCAACTTCAAGCTCTCCAACACTCTGGTCGCCTTTCTCGAGGAGCACAAGCAGGTGGTTGAGCCGCATCTCCTCCAGATGGCAAAGGATAGAGTTCGTCGCATCCAGAATCGCCGCTCCGACCGTCCTCGTCGCGGCAATCATGCCAATCGCCATCACTAAGAGCCAGCCAAGCCAAATCAATCCGATGGATAGCAAACATTTTGATGGGTAAATGCCACCCCAGCCAGAGACTATTATAAATACTGGGTTAGCCCAATAAATGTTTATCGATTACCTTGGTTAGTGCATACCAAATGGGGAGTTGTTGGGTTCGGTTTTGTTTTTTTGGAATTCTGGAACCCAGGAGATCGGCGGGGGTTCTGAAAAATAGGTAATGACGAATGGGGGCAGCGATTGCACGTCCCCGAAGAAAGTTGTGCATCCAGAGCGGAGAAGACGTGACGTTATGCAAGTAAAGAGCAGAAAGAAATGCACGGCAGCCCATCAATATTCAAATAATGCAGTCTGAACCCGTCACGATATTTGTAATATAACATTTCTTATCACTTTATATGGCCAATGCATTCTTCGCTTTCTGAGAAAAATAAACTTCAAGTGTCCGAATGAAATTTTCAGATATTTTTTGGATACTTTATTGGAAATGGCTCTTATGCATTTCATAAAAGTTCCCATTGGGAATATATTCTGCAACTTATTTTCTATCCAAAATAGTTTGGTATGTTATAAATATTTATATTTTATAATCATTCCCATTAAAAGGTATTAATACCAATCATTAGGAATCTATTCTATAAACTGTTTCCTATCTGTAATAGTTCGGTAAATTATAAATACCCAACTAGATCTCGAATCGAATCATTTGGCTTCTGTCACCGATTTGCCGGTTCGCCTACCGTTCGAGTCTGACATATATGGGTCAATATTATCTATAAGGCCCCCCTTCGCCCATTGATTGCCGGAGTTATTTAGTTGTTTGCGCCAAAAGCAAATGGAAATGAATCAAAATTCATTAGAGGTGAATTTATTGTGTTGGCCATTTGATTTCAGTTTCAGCCCAGATCAAATATCTGGCCAATCGATCGGGTGGGCTGTTCGCCAGCCTGATTGGGGTGTGAAGGGGTTGTACGTGCATATCGCGGCTATATCACCGACAGATATCACAGGTGGCTTGGCTTGCAGCTGAGTTTTGTAAAAAAGAAATACATTATATATATAAAAAAAGGGGGCGGCGGGCCGTGTCTAATCCGATTTTGACTTTATTAACGGTGCAATTTGTATCGACAACTGGCAGACGGGATCGGGATCGGGAACGGGAACCAACTGGCAGCCCGAAACTCCTAACTCTTTTAACTCTTAACTCCGAACTCCCGGGGACTGCGAGCCAAAGACCCCTAGCGATTATTATTTATGGCCGCGAGTGCTAACCCCACACTCCGCCCCCCACAAATTGTATGCTAATCGCTTGGACCCCGAGACATTGGCAGCTGTCCCAAGTGGAACTGGACATGGGGACATGAAACCTGGGGACCTGGAGCTGGAGCTCGATTGTTTTCCTTCGGTTACTATGAGTGTGCCTGATTTATGGAGTGTCGCTGACTAATTTGAGATCTTTCGAGGGGTGTGAGTTGCATTTTGCAGTTGGCAGTTGGGAGTTTTTTTTCCCCCAGTTCGCAGTTGATTTTTCCCAACTGCAAATGACCATTCTAGGGATGGCAGAGAAGCGTGACCAGCACAAGCCACGAAATCACTCACGATCGTAACTGCACTGTTTCCAAATTTAGAACCGCAAAGGTCAGCAATGAGGGGGTGGAGTTGGTGGGTTGTGGTCCGAAAAAGGCAATCGATACAGCAATCGATCGATTGCGCTGAGTCATCGTGGTTTTTGATTGCGAAAAGTGTTTCTAGAAATGGGAGTTCACTTAAAATGGGATATGCAAAGATATGCATTCCAAAAAAGTATATACAATGATTAGGATTCGATATATGTGATTATGTTAATTTTACACAGTGGGAATGGCGATGGAAATATAAATAAATTATACGTTTAAAGTGTATAATCAAAGGCATTTAAATTTAAGAAAGTGATCATTGTCATTAAAGTTTAAGGTTATTTATCAATCGATAAGCTAATTTATAAAGTTCTTTGTAGTGACTGTACCATTTCTTGGTAATTTAACTCATCTTTACCTGATCTGGTCACACTGTATGTGCTTTTACCCGACCACAAACAATAAAAAGACCGTTACAGCGATAACGATAAGCAGGCACGTATGCCATCCACTCCATTTGTATCCGGCGGACCTCCACTTCAAAGACAAGGCCGCCACCCACTCCCACCAGTCCCCCCCTCAGAAGGTTCCCACGCACGGGATGCGTGAGTGATGGCAACTGCCAACTTCTGTCAGTCCAAAAAAGAAAAAAAAACGATAACAAAATCCGAAAATCAGAAAAAAAAACCAAAAACAATCCCGAAACAAAAGAAACACACTACTTTTGCCAGCACAAATATTGTGAATTGAAAAGCCAAATATGAAAAGCAAACACACAGTTTGTTGTCGTGTCAGCGACGTCAATGTGCCAAGTCCAAAAGCCTTAAAACTCCAATAGCCATAGCCATAGCCCAAACCCCAAGTCGCTCCGAGATCTTGCAGTCACGTTTGCTTAATAAAATTAATATTTACATATGTTCCGTATTTACACACACACGGCAAATGCTGCCCCCACCGAAAGTGGACAAATAGCCAAATAGACCGGCATGGCCAGGCAATTTGCACGATCCGCGTGGTGAAGATCCCCCCGAGTCCCCAAAATACCCGATTCCCCGATCCCCCAGATCCCCAATGCCCATTTCCATCCCCAGCACGCACCATAATTCGTCCGTGATGATCTCTGTGTACGTTAAAGGGGCTTTCGTGATCCGGGGTCCGTGATCCATTGGAGAAAACGAGCCGGTCAATGCGGTAACCGGGTGACTCACTCATTGCCAAATGGCGATAAGGATCTCAGTCAAAACGGAAGCGCCACGATCGTGAGCCAGTCGAGGAGAGATTTCCCCATGGCTATCACTCAATTCTGTTGGAGGTCCTCTCCTAAAAGACGGAATACAAATTATAAAATCTATCCATAAGCCGAAGATCCTCAAAGTTGATTGCAACAAACAATGGAGCTACAGGGTTCTCAAGGATCAGTTGCTAAAGATACGAGTATATAAATACGTTGAAGATACCATTTCTAAGCTTTTCATATTTTATTATTAAAAGCTAGATTTTTTTTAAAGATAATAAACTTAATAACATATGATTATATAAGACCTTTCAAAATCAATTGCAATAAGATCAGAACATTGGGCTGACCAAATGTGTTAGTTTGATATCGTAGCTTTCCATATTTTATTATCAAAGAACTTAAACAGAAGCTAATTTTTAGAGATTAGGATTAGAGTAATATATAATATTAGAGTATATATAATAATCAGTTATAAGATCGCAGCAATGTGTAAGCTCAGCCTTCCTTAGTGGATCAGTCATTAAAATCTTTGGCAAACATCAAATTCGTAATGCTTTTCTCGTGTCTCTCTTTCGATTTTGGCAATTCGAAACAGGAAACACACCAAATCGGACAAATTGGACAAGCGCGACAAACAGATCTCGACATTTGTGGCTTGTTCTGAGTCGGACTCTGTTTTCTGTTTCTGTTACTATTTCTGTATCTTTGTATCTCCATCTCTGTAAATCCATCTGAATCTGTACACTATATGTATCTTTTTTTGCAACTGGCCAGTGCGCTGTATTTTGTCAGTCTCGCTCTCACTTTGGGGGCATAGTCGACTCTCGACTCGCACATAGATCGGCTCTAATTTGGCCAGAGTCTAAATTCAAGTTTATAACTAAATATGCGCCAAGTAGGTACATTGGATCATTGTGGGAGGGGGAGGGGGGTTCTCGGTATAGCCATAGCTCTAGCTAACCTCGATTGCGTTTGCCACATTTTTAACAACTTCACCCACATTCAAAATTCGTTTTGGCTTTGGCCGACAACAACAGCAAAACCAGTTCGGCTTGGTTCGGTTTATTTTTTGTTTTCTATTTTGTAGGGGGGGGGGAGGCTTTGGCATCGAATTCTGCCACTTTTGGCCATATCCAAATGCCCATCTAGCTATGCTGTTGCCATGTCTTTCTTTTGTTTCACCCAAATGTCTCTCAGCCCAAGAATCGTAAATAGTTAATTCTGTCTCAAACAGCTGTAATTTCATACAGAAGCATTTCCCCTGACCTTATAGAGCATTCCCCCAAATTAACTTGGTCATTAACAACCTGATCGTTTTGGCCCATTTGGGGAAGTAACCCTGCTAATTTGCAAGAAATTAAGCCAAAAAGGGGGTGATTTATTTAATTAAAACGTTTTGAAGCAGATCTCCAAAACTGGATATTAAATAAAAGGAATACAATAAATTAGATTATTAAAATTGTTAATCATTCTGATGTTTATGCTTATATTGTATGATGTAACATTTATATAATGTGTACTCTCATCCCCATGGATTTCACAAATAATTACAAGCCATTGAAAGCCGTTTTTATAATTTGTTTCTGAAGTTGAGAAAAAAAAACACTAATGGGAAAGATATGTTTTTGTTTTTTTTTCAATAGCTAGCGAAATATTTTTCCCGTGAAATCAGTGAAAAGTAATACTTGATTGTCTCAACATATGGTTGCGAAAGGCAAACAATAGCCCCCGTTACTGGGTTAATTGGATTGGAGCTACTCGGATTTCCAGAGCACACACTTGTTGCCATTATTGCCATTTTCATTTCCAGTGCCATTTGGCTTGAAGTCAAGCGGAAGTCGTAGCTTCTAAGTTTGTTTCGTTCAGCTATGCTTTGGCTATCGTCATCGACAATCGCTAATTCTGAGTGATCTCATCGATTCTGCAGAGCTCTATCGAAATTGCCAATCGTCAGGGTCGCTCAAACTTTTTCCCACACACATACACAGTGCAATAAACTTTGGGCCACAAAAAGCAGAAATGGAAAAAAAAAACAAAACAAAATAGCCAGCAAGAACGCCTTCTATGGGTATTATGGAAATACCGTTACCAAGATCAAAAGACCTCCGAGCAGGTGAGCCCAACTCAGCGGATCTCGGATCTTGAATCTTGGAGAGATCTCGGTGAGGAGGAGATCGATAGAT